ACCTCCAGAAACGAAATTCAACACAATGGCCATTTCCAGAGTCTGGAGAAAAGCCTGCATGAGTCTAATTTATTTAGAACTATCTTAACACTCGCCTATACAAATTACTGGAAAAGGGCTTCCTGAACACAGCAAGAAATGAGCAAACTGGCTTTTAGATTGTAATTGCAAACAAGGAGCAGCACCTTCTGAAATTCTGTCAATTACATAATGCAAGTTAACAAGAGCAAAGCTGGAAGATTTACAATACTACAAGAGAAAAGAGTCAGGCCCTTCTCCATATGAAAACAAAAATCCTGTTATTGAGACAAATTCTGGGCCCGATCCTGCAGTTCTTAGATAAGCTTCCCTCAACTCACAGGTTGTATCCATACACAAATTGTGATGTCTACTATCACAGTTCAGGGCAATGGCACCTATATTCCCCTTCTATGATTCCTCAAAGGCACCCACTCTAGGCTCCCAGCTCCTCAGCTGTCACCTCACTTGGGTAAAGGTCTGCATCTCTTCCACTCCTGACAGGTTTTTCTAGGCTGCACAGCATCCTCCTTACACTGTGATATCCCAGCAAGCCAGACTGCCTAAACAGGCCAGCATCTGTGCTTTACTTTCTCTTCAAAGGCTGTAAACCAGCGGCTCTCAAACTATTTTACTGGTGACCCCTTTCATATCGCAAGCCTCTGAGTGCGACCCCCCCTAATAAATTAAACGCACTGTTTAATTTATTTAACACCATTACAAATGCTAGAGGCAAGCTGGGTTTGGGGTGGAGGTTGACAGCTCGCGACCCCCCATGTAATGACCTCGCAATCCGCTGAGGGGTCCCAACCCCCAGTTTGAGAACCCCTGCTGTAAACAGATAAATTGCCAGCAGTTATGCCACACAGCTCTTTATAAGCAAGCATATTTATTCTTAAGGTGAAAGCATTACAGAGGAAACATATTGAAACAATAAAAGAACTTATATTCATGTTAAAAGCTTACCAAAGATCATCCCAGCTCCAACCTTGGGCTCTGGCAGGTGTCAGTCCTTCCAACCCCTCCCAGAAAGCATTGGGGACCTCCTTGGACAGAAGGTCCTATCCATTTGCTGGATCAAAAAGATGGCTTTGAGCCAGTTTAAAAGCAGGATATTTATCCAAGAGTCCTTCCTTTGTCTGTTGGTCTCTGGAGAATCTACTCTGAACTAGCATAAGTGAACCTCGCCAGGAGGTTGTACCTCTCTCGGGGGTTACAACCTGGCTGATTTTCCTTAATCACCACCCACTCTTTTCAATTCCTGTAGGACTTGGGGTAGCCCTCCCCCATGCAGAAGAACACAATCATAGATAAACCATTCATTTAAAATAATGTTCCTAAAGATACTGCATGGTGTTGCAATGTTTGACCCATATACCCCACAAAGTAGTTACATACAATCCAGGTCCACAATATTACATAAACTCAATACCATAAGTCTTTGAAGGTCACTGCAGGAAATTGCCATATCTGGCACATCTACAACAAATAAATTAGGCTTTTGCTCTCTGAAAATCTGGCCAAGAAACTCTGGCTAGGATACACAACCAGTGACAAGGAAAAAATAACTTGCAGCGAAGTGGCATGATATAGTAAATATGCAACACTGGAAGGATAATCAAAATAAACAGATGGATCAAACACCACACTAGGTGCCATATAAGATCTTTGATTAGGTAGATTGGTCATACAAGACGGAATGATGTTGAGAATCTACGAACAGTGGCAGAAACAGAGGCATTAAATATGAGGGAAAGAAAATTATTTCTTTACTACCTATACAATGCAGACACTGGTAACAGGTGACTCACTGGACAGTTTTAAATTTGTTCATTTCGACACTGACTACAGAAAAATATCCCAAATTTGATCTTTTGATCAGAGGTCAGAAAAAGTACTTTATTGTCAGTAGTTCTTATTGGCTTTCACCATAAATGTGGATTATGGAAGTTCAACTGTAAAGCTAAAATTGAATTGCAACTAGCCTTTAACCAGTCCATTAATGAACTTTTCAACGACATAAATAAGTACAGTGCCACAGAACCTCACAAATTCTCACTTTACTGATCTGCAAACCAGAGAATTCTAACCAAGAAACCATTTATTAGCAGCACACAGTAGCAAGGTGCCCTATTACCAAGACTTATACTACAAAATGCTTACTAGTATACTATGCAGTATTACCATCAATAATTAATTACACCTGCCAGAATAAATTAACAAAGTACTTTGTCAGACAGTGTCCTTAATTTTTATCTAAAATCAAAGTTGTTTGCTTAGTTGCTGATTCAGAAAATTAAACAATCTGCAGTAATTAATGTAGTAGTCGTCATTAGGACAAATTAGCAAGGTTGTACTCTGTTAGGTGACAATATAGCTTACAAAGGCCTGAGCACCCACAAAACCTATCAAAGTCAAAAGAAAGGGTAGGGGGTAGTTAATTCATAAGAAGGGGAAGAAAACTGTAAAGAATGGACATTTATTACTCAATCCAAACCAAAGGTTTCATTCTTCCTATAGTTAGATAACAATTAGCCTCTGTTGACTTGTATTTTGTTAGAAAATTAAACAGACTAACTTCTTTGGAAAAATATCTGCAGGGGAAAAAATTAAAGATATGGTTTCTCATTTTCAAACCGGAAGCCACAGCTACAGTTTTATGGAACTGGGTTTTCTGAAAATTATGTCCACACAAACCTAAGCAATGTAAAATAAGTATCAGAGAGATATTGTTAAAAATAGTAGCTCAATATATGATTTCTTAAAAGAGTTTCAGAATGTAGGTCGTGCTCACATGGATGTTGTGATTTGTCTCCTTTAAGTGTCTGCTACGTTCCTGGGAGATGGCAGACTTAGCATTGATATCATGCTCTGGATTTGTTTGTGTAGTGTCACCCAAGGGTGTAAACTGTAATGCCATATTATGGTACAAATGTTCACTTAGGGGTGAGCTAAGAGTTAAAGAGAAAAACAAGTCTACTCATAATCAAGTATGTTTAAGTTCCATGCACAAACATGAACATCAGACCAGGCACATGAACAATTTGTGGTCCTGTGTTGCTGTTCACACAACCACCCCTTCTTCTCCTCCAAAAAACAGGCCTCTCAAGTACAGCCTTCACACACAGAGTCTCCAGCCCCCTTTCCTCCTTCTCCTGCTCTAGTGTAGACCATTTGCAGTGGCCTTTGAAAGGACCACCGGATTGGCCAATGACTCCCGCAATCTTGCAAAGCTCTCTTATGTGGCAGGAGGCACACCTCCCACACACAAGGCACCACAGGCTGAGAAACACACCCAAACTTGCTGCAGTCACTCAATGACTCAGTAAAAGTCCCATGATCCTTAGTGCTGGGAACTCAGAAAACTGTTGAGTTAAGGGAATCTCTAGGTACCAGTGGGGTTCTAGCTAAGGATTATGGGGTCCCTATGCTGGCTCTGACCAGCTGCAGCAGAACAGGGACTGTTTTGGCTTCTAGTGTTTTGTGCCAACACCCCTGCCCTGTGCCTACTGCCCCCAGTCCTCCCAAAGACCTGGAAGATGCAGCAGCTCTCCCTCAGGCCCCTCAAAGCAGAGCAGCCAAGTTCAGCAGCAGCTGAAGGGAAATTTGCTCAGTGCTGGACTGAGATCACAGAGTACTTCAAAGAGATTTGTATTTTGCATCCCATGCTGCTTTTCCCCTGCACTCTTGCCCATCTCTTCCCTTCTTCATCCACTGACACTGCTGGCAACATGGGAGAGCTACTAAATACCTGCATGCTCTTTGCTCTCCAATCACCAGCGCTCTCTGCTCTGCTTGACACACATTGCCATGACAGGAGCATGTACTCAACAGTATCTATATGAAACAGAGCATTCATCTGATTTCCACCCCGTTTTCCTCCCTGGTTATGGGTTTCAGCCCCAGTTGGGAGTGCTGAAAAGAAGAGCAGTCTGGTGTTGTGAAGCACTCACAGAAAGGTTAGAGCTGCAGCGGGCAGATACAACAGAAGGAAGAAAAAGTTTATTTCTACCTTTTTCCCGTCCCCCCTCCAATTCACTCTTCTTTGCCTCTTTCCCCACTCAAATCTATCCACTGTGTGTTGCCTTGCCCTCCTTCCTTCTTTTCCTCCAAGCTTGCTTCATTGTGCTCTCTCTCCCCATCAAGAAAAACAAAATGAAACTTACTATCTGTTAGTGAGTTGCAATTTGAGTCAGAAACAATTGTGCTCAGGAGAGGAATCAAGCCCAGCTGCTCCCCCTGCCACTAGATCTGAAGCTAAGGAATACTTTTTCCAACTAGTAAGAAGTGAAACTACCTGACAATTGTTCCAGGACCCTGTGGAAGGAAGCAACTGAAGCAAGGAGATGAGAATTATCATACAATTTCTCCTCAAACCGGTGGAAATTGGTATTTTGCCAAATGCTGCAAACTGAAACCTGCAGAGTCTGCTTCATGTAACCCATACAAAGTGGACTCTGCAGGGTTTCCCTCACTCTGTTTGCACACAGTTACTTCGATCTACATGGAAAAATACAGAATTATTTGCTTGTGTGTTTTCTTTTTAAACAGGCACAATTTATAGCCTGAGTTTTGAAAATGTGATGCTAATAACGTTCATTTTTAAAGGAAAATAAAGATTCTATTAATCTAGGGATTCTGTGAAAGCTACAAATTACATTTTTAAGGTAGGTAACATTTTGGGTCTGTTCATCTTGAAAGCATCCTTTTCAATTTAATGAATATACATACCATTTCTATATTTAGATATTTTGTTCTGATGCATTTCTGAGCAACAGTTTATTTTAAAAGATTAAAAAAAAGCTATTCTAACTCAAACTCACAATATTAATCCACAAGGTGTAAAGAGTCAGAGGGATCTTCTCCTGAGACTTCATACAGCGGCAAATATACCATCTTGAAGCCAAGAGCTGAAAGCATGTTTGCTTTTCCTGCCTGGCAGTAACTTAACTTCATAACTGTTTTACTTTAAATTATATTACCGCAGTTGGGGATCTGCATGTCCGAAAGGGGTATCCTCTTGTTGTTGTCATTTATGCAGTAAAAATCCTGAGTCTCTGTGTTAGAAAACTTGGTCTCCTGAAATATCTTGATCCACATAACATCACAGGAACACTTGAATGGATTGTCCACTAGAATCCTGCAGCAAAAATGAAATAATTAAAAAAAAAAATCAGTTGACATTATCTGCCTAGAAACATTGCAGTGTGGTTTTTTGTTTTGTTGAGGTTTGTTTTTAAATGTCACTCCAAATGCAGCCTAGAAGCAAAATACTTTGCTTAATAAAATTATGGAGCCAGATCCTCAATAGTATAAATGGGTACATCTCCATTGAAGTCAACAGAGCTATAATCCATTTACTCCAACTGAAGATCTGGTCCATGGTGCTTATCACCGATCTGAGACACCACACACAGGGCCAGATTCTGATCTCAATTTCACCCGTGAAAATCTGGAGTGACTCTATTCACTTCAATGAAATCATTTTGGATTTTTACCAGTTACATGGAGATCAGAATCTGTTCCATAGTGGATTTTGGTCTACTGATTTATAAAGAACACTCCTGAAAAGACTTCATCACTGTATGTGGTGGACTCTTTGTGGACCCATTCAGTCCCATATTATGATTAAAGTTTAACAACTCTAGTTGTAAACAAGAATTTCACACACCTTTAAGAAGAAATCATCCGTATGACTCTGGAAGATGACACAGTGAAAGGCTTTAACTAATATCAACCAGAACCTAACTAAAAAAAGGGCTGTAACTCAGTGTATAAACACCACACAGCTATACAGCACACTATATGGAATTTCAATCAGAGTTTAGCCAGCCTATCTGATTCTAATTTCAATACTCATGAAAACCTTAGCCCAGTGTAATGTGATAAGCCTGCATGAAGTATAATGGAGACAATCCAGATGCCTGACTCAGAAATGGTCCAGGATTTCACCTTTTCTCCCAAAAGCTCAGGTGAGTTCCAACTGATATGTTTGTCAGGGTTTCTTTGTGACCCCTAAAGACATTTCATTATAAAAAGAGTAATGAAACTCCACAAATGACCATGATGCACATAAGCTATATTCTTGTTGCCCACAAAATCTGTTGCCTTAAGCATTAAAAGCTGCATTCTCATTATTAGGCAGCAATTTAAAATGTCAAATTTGTAGAAAATCAAGACAAACCTATGAGTCAGTTTCCCAGAAATGTAACATGTTTCCCCAAGTTTCACACATAAGGTACATCTACACTGCAGCTGGGAGTGTGCTTCCCGGCTCAGGTAGATAGATATGCATTAGCTCTATTTGAGCTAGCATGCTAAAAATAGCAATGTAGCCAGAGGTAACAGGGGTGTCAACTCAGGGTGCATACCTAGGGTTCTGAGTGGGTTTGTACTCAGATGGCTAGCCCAAGCTGCCATCCATGCTAAAACCATCAACACAGCTATTTTTAGCACACTAGCTCAAGCAGAGCTAGCGTGAGTCTGTCTACCTGAGCTGCAACACCTTCTGTGGATAATTTATATTAGCACAAGTCATCCAGTTGATTTCAATGGCACTACTTGTGTGAATAAGAATTTATTTTTAAAAATCTCTGCTTTGGTTAATAATAACCAAGCAACTGTTTTCTTCCATTGTTTTAAATGTGATTTGATTTCCCATGGGAGTCAAACCATGGTGACATTCTGCAGAAAGGGGAGGAATAGAAGCATGATTGTCCCTTCCATGCGCTTCCTGGCTCAGTGAGTAGCAATTAAACATTTTCATCTCATTTGCTGTAATTCTGCAGTTGCAGCTACAATTTTGTTTTAAAAGCAGAATCCTTTCAAAGTGGCTTCTCGTTTCCCTTCTCCCCAGAGTTTGGAGAACATCTTCCAGATCACCCTGGCCTGAAATTTCATTCACTTACACTTTGATTCAAGTGCCTTCTATCAAGAGTACACCCACAAGTCAGATTTAAAGCAAACTTCTCACAAGCTATTTATGGGCAACATTCTATTCTTCAGATCCCGCCTCCAATATTCAGTTTTCCCTCCATTCTCTGGATTCTCACCGATGTCAATCATCTCCTTTACTTGTCAATCTATTTGCCACCCTATTGTCTGATCAACTGAACAACAGTTTTACTGTCCTATTGATACCATGTCTTCCCACTGCTTTTCCAATAGGCACACCCTACCTCTTCCCTAGCTCACTGTCTCTTCCACCTTTCCTGCTTTTTCTCTCTCACCTTCATCCATTCTGTCCTCCCCACTTTACCACTACCAGCTCTATATCCTCCTCTCTCCCCACCATCCCTGTTCCCACATGCCTTCTCACCTTTACAAATACCTGTCTTACCTCTACATCCTGTCTCTCTACCTTCTTATGTGGCCCGGCAGCACTGTAGTATCTAACCACCGCAAACATTAATCATTTATCCTTGCGATGTGCTATGAGGTAGGGAAGTAGTATTATTCCATTTTTCCTAACTCTGGCTCACTCTTAACATCCATTTCCTCTGTCCCTGCTCCCAAACTGTTGAATGCCGATGGCATAAATCCCGTGATTACATTACAAATGTATTCTCTCCTACTCCACTTCTGCCAGACGCTTTGCCAATAAGCACTACTTTCCTACCCGCATGGAATTGAATTCCCAAAACCCTTCATTGAACTGATTGAACTAAACAACCCCTCTTGCTTATTTAGAATCTTCAGTTCCCTCCTAGAGTCCAATCTTGAGCCCTCTTCTTCCTTTGCACAGGATCACACTAACATCTTCAAAAAGATCAACATGATCCACTGTGATTTCACTGAACTAACTTGTAAATTACTACCTTTTGCACCTTCAAATCCCTTTCAAAACCCAGTTCAACCATGACACCTATAAGAAATTGGTCACCTGATAACAGAGTGGTCCAGAGGAGGTCAGTATAGCTCATGTGTAAACTGAAGTTATTCAATTTAATACAGTGGAGTAATTTCAGCTATATATTGACATAAATGCCTGCAGAATTTGGGCTTAGAATTGAAGTCAGTACTTTTTCATAGTCACCCTGAGCCAAATCAGGCTATCAGTTACACTTGTGAAATCCAGGGGGCAAAAATGGCTCCATAACTTTTCCTAGTTGTTCAGTAACACTAATAGAACCCCAGACAATATGTTTTTGCTTCAACAGCTTGCTTTGTGCATTAAGATACTGTGCACCAATTTAAACAGCATTATTTTATAGCTGAGATGATATCAGCTACCAAATATAGAGGTGAAAGTGCCAGATGTCAGGTAAAAGTGCCTTTTTTTGGATGGACAGGTGCAGAGAGAGGAATGTAAGGAGTGTTTGGGATTTTAGAAAAAATTACAGATACCTAACAGAACAGATCAAATGGAAGCATTTTGCAACTAGCTATTCTTTCCATTTGAATGCTCAGTGATTACCAAATGATGAAAGAAAATTCCAGTGAATGAAGTTCTGTGGACTGTAGAGTGATTATACTACCTTAATCATCAACAGAACATACCTAAGGGGCATAATCTCATTTTCGTGCCAGGGATTTGTGCACTTCATTTTTCCTATACTGAAATGAGAACATACTCCAAAAGATGTCTGAGATTACAACACATTCTTCTTGGCTAATATTTCTGACTTGTCTACTTTATATCTCCAGGGCCCTGATCTTGTACTGAGCTCTGAGAAACCAGAAACCTTCCCATTTCAGAACAACCTGTTCAGCTTACTGGGTTCTGAAAGTCCCTTCTTTAGGCACCTAACATCCCCACGCATTGTATGGGGAGTCTGGATGCCTACCTTGTGACTGACAATTCCCCTGGCCTGCAGGCTCCTTAAGTGGTTAGGTGTTGCAACACTGAGTGGAGCAAACCCTAAATACCAGGGCCCAAATACTTAACCTCTTCTGTGTGGTTATAACCAGGAATACCAATAATTACTACACCAGAAGTATTGTATGGCTCTTTTTTCACTTATGATTAAATATGAGAAAGTTCTATGTTAATACATATACATACGTCCTGCTTAAAAGAGCCTAGAATACAGATGCATAGTTTAAACAACCAGAATAAGCAAAATGTATGTTAACCACATGGCTATAGAATATTTGTAATGTAAAATCTATTTCAGTTCAGAACAATTTTGTTTTCAGGAAAAGAAAAACATTGTTGAATGGCCAAACACATAACTGCTGCAAGGCCAGTAAAATACAAGAAAATGAGGAAAACACTTAACATGAAGATCTGCAAGTGGTTAATTTTTTACTATACTACAGAGAGAAGGTACTTCAGGCTTCCACCTTCATTAATCCAAAAAACAATAGTTTCATGTGAAACTATTTCAGAATAGAACATTTTAAAGCTGATGAGGAAAAGCAAGTTTTATCCACAGATTAATTTGTGTTGCACTGGAGAGAAAGCAAATGTCATGGTGTTTTGCTCCAGTATTGCATTAAATTAATACCTTTTTTAAACAATGTCATCATCCAAAGACAACTTACCTTTTCTAAAGACACGGGATGAAACTCTGGCCCCACTAAAGTCAGTGGCACCCACTGACTTCAGTGGATCAAGCCCTAAAAGCTCTCAGACTGCTATTCTATTTCCAACACACAAATAATCTTCATTTTAAAAAAACCCACTACTTACAGATCAGACAAATTCAGATGGCGGAAAGTCTTCTTATACAAACTCGAGAGCTTGTTTCTGGAGAAATTACTGTGAGAAAACAGAACATTAGATTTTATTAGTATTTCTGGTTTTCATAACCAAAATATAGAAACAGTGTTGTTTTGAAAATTGAGCCCAATCTAACCACCAAGAAAATCTGTGGGTTTCCTTCCACTGAGTTCAACAGGAGATGGATAGGGATCTAAATTCTTCTGATAGCCCAATTTGGCTTTGAAGATTCGTAATCCAACATGCACCTTGTTTTGATGGCTAACTTCATAAACAAGTTCAACACTGGACAAAATTTTCACCTTTCAACACTTCTAGCCATGCAGAAAAAACAGTGGATTTCATTTCAAAAGGACCTGTGTAAAGTCCAGATGTTGGTTACATTCTTATTTATCCATAAGCAAAATGGGTGTTTCCCATACCTTCTTTGAGTCTGCACTGCACTCTGCGCTCATCTAACCCCAACCACATGCTAGCACACATCCTCAACATAAGCCTTTTAGTTACTCTTTTCAAACCGTGTGTGCAATAAGAGAGAGATCAAAAGGCAAATTGTAAAATGCTAACATTAGGGGATTTTATGTCAATTAAGCATTTACTGCTTCCAAATATAATTAACTTAAAGGTTCTTTTCAAGTTTTTTAGGTCAGAGAAATGTTCATCTTAATCAGAAATGCCTCACTCCCAAACCTGTAAAAAAATGTTCTCCACCTTTGCTCCACAAATCAGAAAAGGGGTACTTTTTCTTGTGGTTCTTTCAGTGCACTAATTAATGGTATAGAGAGCAACAGTAAACTGTAACACTGCCAACAGCCCAGTGCAAATTAGTATTATGAGCCAAAATACCATATGCATTTTATACAGTATTACGAAGGCACGAGAGGGGTTCCATAGTTAATGTTGCATTGAAATCTGCACTTAAACCATGGATTAATGTAGTTACACCTTTAACCTTGATTTAATTGGTCATGGTCTGCCTTAGCCCTCCGTAGATTTGATCTTGTCCAGATAAATCAAGGCTAAAGGTGTAATTTGCATCTACACCAGGGAAGATGTTGTGGGTAGGTAAGAATTAGCTACCACATGTTAGCTAACCCTGACCTAACCTTAACTTCTTTCCATGAGCTAGACAAACTCTGTGTTAGGAGACTGGAGGTTAGGTGACCCAGTGCTTTAGGGCCCAGTACTGCGAGCCATGCCTATATGAATAGTACTTAACTCAGTCAAATCAGTGGGCCTGATCCTCCACTGCCTTGCACCTTACCTAGCCATTTACACCTGTGAAATGGGGGGGCGGGGGTAACATGCTACCTTACCAAACTGTCACTTTGCACAGGTGTAAATGACTAGGTAAGGTGCAAGGCTGAGGAGAATCTGGCCCACTGATTTAAGTGAGGCTACTCACAGGAGCAAGGATTACGCCATCTTTATGAAACACAATTTTGAAAAATGATAAGAAACTCCATGGGCCTGACTCTCCTTTCGCTTACACCAGCCAAGTAGCTTAAGTGGAGTTACTTCTGACTTATGCCAGTGCACATAAGATCAGAATAAGGCTCACTGTATTTATGGAAAACAATAACAAAAATGCTCAACTGCATTCTTGGTTATGGGCTGACACATTTAGGGCTTTATGACTAGTCTTTTCTTCTGTGCAGTTAAGGGCCTTCAGATTTTTCAAACTGGCATGTAATTCAATTGAAATTCTTGAGCCCTATGTTATATATATCATCTTGAACTATATTATGTCAGTATATTTATTGTTATATATATTTTCCATAAACTGAGCACTTTATATTGATTACTAAAATCTCTGCTTTGGTCCCTTCAATCCACAGTAAGTGAATAGGCATAGACCAGGGTTACTAGATGGTTGGTAAAGACACAGTTGTTTTTTTCTGGAACGGTAATTATAAGTTAACTCCTTAGTTCAATATCATAGTAAAGAATTATTATGGCTAGCATCCACAACAGTAAGTATATATACACATAAGACTTTGTTAACTGAGAGTTAAGGGCCTAGATCCTGAGCTACAGCCAAGCTCTGCTCAACAGCTTGGGAAGTAAAGAGAAGATGAGGGAGGGGAGGCAAAAGTAGGGTTAAACCAGCTTCATGCACTCTACTTCGGATCCGTTTCTCATTTGATCACAAAAACACACAAAAAAAACCCTTGTACTGCACATTTAGACTGTGATTAAAAAAAAAAAATCAGATCAACTCCCCAGTCCCTGTTACTAAACATGTGTTAGCTAATCCCAACCTAACCACAAACTGTTCCCTACTGTAGATACAAGTTAGCACAGTTAACTTTGATTTAGCTGTTCAAGGTCGACTCTAGCGAGGAGCCTGAGGCCAATCTCAACCAGCTATATCAAGATAAAAATTGTTAGCCTGTATTTACACAACGGGGAAAAGGAGAAAGGCTGTAGTTAGGTCAGGGTTAGATATATAGGTAATGTAGATCTCTCTTCTTAATCTAGTCAAGCCCACAGCACTCGGCTACCACGGTGATAGCACACTAAAAACATCAAAGTAGATTTGAATATATAAAATGTATACAATTATGCACATTCTTGGTACATGACAATGGCTTTTTAATGTTTTAGTAAATATTCACTACTTGTGACCTTTATTGCTACATTTAAAGGTATTAATATAATGTAAAGGAAGTGCATTAAACAGGTCTATTAAAAAAAACATTGTTACTGCTGCTGAGTTTATGAATTACAGCATTGCTACAACAGTTCTGTTTAATAGCTTTTAAAGGTGATTGTTGAGTAATTTGAGTCTAAGGTCAATGAGAATACCAGAATTAAACTAGCAAGGCTCTTAATTACATTTAAGTGATATCTATTGGAGCATTTCACTTTCTGTTGTTTACATTATTACTGAACCTTAGTGGTTTGAGCATTGGCCTGCTAAACCCAGGGTTGTGAGTTCAATCCTTGAGGGGGCCATTTAGGGATCTGGGCCAAAATTTTGGGGGGGAGGGATAGCTTGGGGGGGAGGGATAGCTCAGTGGTTTGAGCATTGGCCTGCTAAACCCAGGATTGTGAGTTCAATCCTTGAGGGGGCCATTTGGTATCTGGGGCAAAAACTGGGGATTGGTCCTGCTTTGACCAGGGGGTTGGACTAGATGACCTCCTGAGGTCCCTTCCAACCCTGGTATTCTATGATCGTACATCAGTTGTTGAAAGGCATTTTGGCTACAAAGGTTTGGCCCAGAAAATAAGTAGATGCCAAAAAGCATTTGAATAGCTGCGTGTTAGTAGATTCATTAGCATCTGATATTATTATATGCTATTATTATTTATGTTGTAAGAATACAGTGTTTATTTTTTAGTGAAGCCTTGTGACTGCATTAAAGATTTCTCCTGTGAGAGGATTACAGCCATAATATTTTCATTAGCAAAATTAAAGTTCTTACAATTAGCATTAATCTTCATAAGAATATTTGTATGTAAAAAAAATCCCAATAAGCTCCAAATGGCTAGACATAAACTTTTGCTTTAAAATGAAATGTAAGATTTTCCTTTGTATTTTGCTGAGAAGGTTACTATTAATTAAACATGACTGATTTCAGTTTTTCACAGTTTTCATTGCCCAGACCACATCTCAGGGTCCACCCTGCTCCCAGTGACGTCAACAGGAGCGTTGCCACTGATTTCAATGGTCCCAGACATTGAAACAACAGGCTTTTTGGGCAGATTTTTTAAAATCATTAAGAAATCATGTAAAGAATAAACAAATGAATTTTTCTACAGAAATAATAAATCCAAAGGCCTAGGCAGAACTACCTTTATACTAATTGTGTTATCACTTTGGCTCATCTACGGTAAACGTAACAAGTGGCACTAAGTAATCATTTTCAGTCTTACCCAGCCATTTTATATGTTTGGAAAGATTACTAATCCCTATTGTATCACTGCTCAGAAGGAAATCATAATTTAATGACCAATTGTCACAGGAAAAGCAAGTATATACCCAACCGTAGCTCTTTATATGGTATTTCTATGGTTTTGCATTGGTATGGCTCTGGTCAAAGCAATTTGTTTTATTAATGACTAGATGAAATAATTTAACATGCCTGTAAAATGTGTGTTACATTCTCCCTCTCATAGTTTGGCCACATAAGGGGTAACAGCCTACTACTGCTACCAGCAAATTGAGATATCATATGTTTTTGGTTAAATTACTATTAATTTTATCCTCCTATGACATATTTTTCTTGGAAAACAAAATTGCAGAAAGGGAATTTATTGTAGTATAACCGCACCCAGTCCTGGCCCCAATGCAGCAATCCATCTCTGTTACACAAAGCACTTAATCAAGCACCTGCTTCTTAATACCTGGGCTTAAGTCTCATTGATTCACTCATACACATGCCTAAAGTTAAGAAGGTGCTTAAGAGCTTTGCTGAATAGTGATAGGCTTACGCACTTACTTGAATGCTTTCCTTAACTAGAGTTCATGTAATGTGCTAAACCCCCGCTGCTCATTTCAGCACCTTGAGGAATTGAGACCACAATCCTAAATATGAGAAGTAGGAGTGAGTTCAGCTCTATGTTTCTCAAAGGGCTTGTCTACACTGTGCATAGGTCTGCACCGGGGGGGGGGGGTGTAAATTCTACTCACCAGCATATCGCACACTAACTGGTCCATGTAGCATGTGCTAAAAACCCCTTAATGTGTGTTAATGTGGTCCCACACAGTATTACATTAATGTTCACCAGGGAACTTTTAGTGTACCACAGCAGAATCCACATGGGCCAGTTAGTGTGTGACATGCTGGTGTGGACTAGAATTTACACCCCTTTAGTGCGGACTAACACACTGTGTAGACAAGCCCAAACTGAGAGGCACCTATCTTCTTCAGGGACATGTAAGCAAACCGACAAAAACAGAAGAAACTGAGCTGGTCATTTTTCTGAGTTGTTTTCACAGAGGACTCTGGACAACTCATCCTTTGCCAAGTCCAAAGCAGAAATGATCCAGCACAACAAAATTAACAGGTTGCCCCCGCACCACTTGCTTATAATACAGTTCCACTTTTATGCCAAAGTTATTAGCAAAAGATCCTTAAACACCTCCTTCTTTAAAACACTTTATACCAGGAGAATGAGAAGAAAGGGAAGGGAAGTAATAAGCTCTGGGTAGTTCTGACCTACAAGACATGAACTGTTCTGACTCACATGTACTGCAGGTTGGTGTTTTTCAGAAATGCCTGACGGGACACAAACTTTAAGCCTGAATCCACCACGGTTCTGTGAAAACATATAATGTTAAAATTGTTAGTGTTGGTCAGTTAAAATAAAATTGATTAATAAATAATAATTATGGTTAGAATAAGATTTGGGATTACAATTAACCCAAATCATTTGTAATTAATTAAATTGTAACCTCTTTGGGGCAACGACTGTCTTTTTTTAATTCATATTTGTATTGTGCCCAGGGCAATAAGGCCCTGCTCATTGACTGGGGCCTATAAATCCTATTGTAAGAGAAACTACAAATATTAATGTTAAACAAAAATAATAAATCAGATACTCACAGATTTTTCAGTCCAACATAAAGTCCAACTTCATTGTTATTGATACTTTCTAATTTCCGCTGGTTTGCGATGTAACTATAGAAAAAAAAAGACAGAGAAAGCAAGTGAAGAAAGCAGCTTCATTACCTGTTCCTGTTATTTAGATTGTCTCAGGCACTGTTGATAGGTGAAATATAAAAAGTAATGAAGGTTTCTGACCAACTTCAGTCAAAATGGAATCATGTGTCTGCAGAGCTAAATACTTCTTGCCACCTTCCCAAGTATTTAACTAGATGCCTTGTTGCAGAACATTTATGGTAATTTTTACTCAGGGGAAACAATCTTGCACAGAGAGGGAGGTCTTCACACTGAGCAGATAATAAACAAAATTTCTTTATAATGCCACTTTCTCTGAAACCTGCTCTTTTCTGGCTCATTACTTTTGCATAACAAGAAGGCCAGACCCTCAACTGGTGTAAATTGTGCACAAGTAGAGTCTGGCCCTAGTTTGTTAATACTAGATACACTTAACATCATCATTCATTAAGCTGTTTTTCTCCCTGCCCCTTAGCTGGAGATTTATTTACACCATACTACAATCGGAAGACAAACAAACTAATCATTCTTGGTTGTATTATGCATACAATGAGCCCCAGCTGAACATAATACAACAGAAGGAGAAAGCATCATGATAGATCAAAAACATCAGCCAACCCCACTATGCACCAGGAACCTCTTTATGTGTCACCAATGTAGCAGATATGAGCATCAAATGACAGTGATGGCTTTGCAGGATTTCTTGGGATAAGAGTAATACAGTGAAGCCATTGTAAAATAATAAAAGAATACAGAGTTCCTTACATAACCTTGTTATCCCACGGATTTTATAAACCAATCTGATTTAAACTCTCGAAACTCATTAGGGGCCAATCCAAAAACAATGAAATAACATATTAAAGATGATGGATAATGAAATCCTCCCATTTGAGAGCCATCAGGCAGATCTTCCCCATTCTCTGTTAAACTGTTTTCAAGCATGACAGGGGATGTCATTTAGAATCTTCCTCTACCTGTGTGACTTTGGAAGCCCCTCAATGCCAACTGGCAGAGGGCACATCATACCTTAACTCACATCAGACCTGACACACTCATTGCCTCAACACACTGTAGTCATGATCTGTATCTAAAAGGCAGCATGTAAGGTGTTATATGCAAATGGATAGTATTATTGTGGGATGTTTGTATGGTGGTGTATAAAGAATAATAGATGTGTGCTGGAAAATATGTTCTTAAAATATGGTTGGCAAGCAGTGCATAATCCCAGCCTGTTCTAGACAAAGGAATGTTGTTTCACCTGCTTGACTGTGTCTCCATTGTAAATTGAGCAAGGCGAGGCCAGAAACAATGAAAGTACATTTACATATAAGGTAAACAAAGCCGTCAAACTGGCAAGTGGGGGAAATGACCACTTAAGAACCACGATGGGGGATGGAAGCTGTACCCCCAGGAAGCCTTCCTGGCTTTTGAAACAGAGACAATGGACTTTGGGAAATACAGGCAGAAATAGAAAGCCATTTTGCATCCTCACCTGAGGGAGAAAAGAGGCCTTGAAAACTGAGAAAAGTGGGTCCTTCAACCCAGGTGGTGGAACTCTCTGAGAACTGATTGTAGATGAGAAAGTTGCTTAGACACAGATTGTAACTTGCTAAGGTTAAGTTTTAGTCACTAGAAAGCACATTTTGTTTTCTTTGTAACCTTTCATCTCTCTTTCACTCTCATTTGAAATCATTTAAACCCTGTTTGTTAATAAAACTTATTGTTTTATTACAAGAACATTTCTCAGTGCTGTTATATTGAAGAGAAGTGTAAATCTTCAGCTAACCTCACAGGTTGTCATGTGCTCTGTCTCTTTGGAGGCAGAGAACTTAATAACTTCTGTGAGTGTCCAGTGAGAGGGAACTTGGGGGACTGGGGTTCACTGGTTGTTACCAGCATGGACAAGGATTAGACTGGCAGAGGCCTGAAGAGTTTGCTGGTAAGGCAGATGAACTGGTGTGCCAGAGAGCTGACACACAGCTCAGCAGCAGCAAAGCCCATTCTTGGTGAGGCAAAGCAGTAACACAGTGACTCACAGTTCTGGGTGGCCTGAGCAAAACATCACAACCTGCTGCTCAATTCTAGGTGTAGAGAATATGGCTGTGAGGTTTCAGGTACCCTATTATGTGGTCAGTGTTCAATCAATAATTAGTACCATAGTTAGACTTGGAGAAGACTGGGGAGAAATGTAAAGGGACAGGAGTTTAGGAAGATGTATGCAGATGCATGGAAGGGGGAACCAGAAAGGACATAGAATCAGGGTAAGAGAGATGGGTCAACCAATTTTAGATGAAGATCAAGCTTGCAACAAAGTTTAGTCTCTACAGACACTTATGTAACTCTACAATACCACAGAACACATCGTAAAAATCAGCCATTCTAATTCTAATCATAAAACTTTCATTTATTCCATCAGCACCTCCCAGTATGAGAATGTGTAGAACTCTGACATAACTGGAACTTAATCAGCACATGTAAATCAGCTTTGGTCCACTGAAGTGAATCCTTTACACCAGCCAAAGATCTGGCCTTAAATGCACAATACATAAAATCAACAATATAATCTAAAAGTATATTTCCTTTACAGAACAAAATGAGGCATGGCTCCTGGAATTAGGCATGGCTGCTGCACTCCCTGGCTTGACATGGTTTTCATCATAAACAGAGTTACAGTTTGGTTCAACGGCTTTCAGCACCCCTACTATACAAATTGTTCCAGCACCCTTGAAATGAGGGGACAAATTTTAGGTTCAATGAGAAGTATGCGGTCAAAAGGAGCCGACTCACACAAACTTAGACTGTAAGCTCTGGGGCAGGGACTGTCTTTGTTCTGTGTTTGTATAACACCTAGGACGATGCGTCCTGGTCTATGACAAGGGCTCCTAGGTACTATGGTAATAACAATAATTGCCCCCCGGAGAAGGTCAAGCCACTGCACTTTCCAAGAGAGCTGGGCTATGGCCCTACCCCCCTGCCACCTGAACTGAAAAGAGTGGAGGAGTTGCCACAACTGCATGCATGAGGTTGGAGCTGCAGGACAAATTCAGGCTGTGTTAACCAGAATTCCTGTCAAAGCAACCACTGCAGTACAGTTTCTTTTTACACAACACCCTTAACACAGGTCATCATGGAAAAGCAAATGAAGTCTTATGAAGTCCTAAGAGAGGAAAATAGACAGTTGTATCTTACCACAAACAGATTGTATCTTCTTACTACCCATTTTATCTTTTGCTTAACACTTTATTTGATTAAATCTTTAAAGCTATTTCATAGCTGAGAGAAAGACAGAGATACGGCTACTGTAGCACATATACTAGGAGGGGAAGTGAGTAAGATAATCCTTTGTTTAAGCCAGAGAGAGGTTTGAGATAAAAGCTCTTATCTGACTGGAAACTATTTTTACCACCTTCACAACTACTCTACCTTGATGCTACTTATCATTTTACATTAATACTCCTAAAAGCTCTGACTTTCAGTGGGCAATGTTGAGAAATGTAATATGTTTGCCTGGCCTTAAGAATACTCATCCTTTCTCTTAAATGAACATTTTTAGTGCAACATACAAGAAAAATATCCATACTCCATGACTGGCTGAAGCCATGTGATAAGACAGAAGCTCCCACTGTACACTGCAGCACAATATAACAATATTGAGGTTTGGAAAGATATTAACCAATCAGAACACATATACCAATTACAGCTCCAAATTGAATCCTCAGCAGTCAGCAACACTTTTCCTTGGATCTACTACTACACCAAATCTCTCTCCTACTTGAATGATTTATCAGTTAACAATAGTTGCTTCCAGACCTCTAATTTCATCTCCCCATGGCCATTATAGGACCTATTAATTCTGATAAAGACATTCAGAATCGCATTTCATACTGATTTCATACTTCAATCCACATCAAGTTGTTCACCTCAACACAATTCAAATTGTATAATATCACATACTCATACCTCACTATTGTAAGCCCATTTTAAATCTTATGTTCAAAGACTTGTAACTTTTTCAAAGATTTTCCTTTTGAACTGGAACATAACCTACTTCTGCTCAGCACAAAGGTGAAACGTTTGGGAAAAACTGCAGAAAATCAGCAGAACCCATGTCTAAATTATGTGAACATGAAAACAATATATTTTTCATTCTTTAAAATAATTTGGACTCTTTTGTATTTGAACAATTCAGAAAAAAAAGGATTCATTCTAAATTTTCAAATGTGATATGTTCATATTCCTTTCCTAAGTCTGAAAACATTTGGTTAGCTGAAGTATGTCCCCTTAATTTATTTGATTTATTCCATTTTCTCTGGACAAATGTAATTTAAATTACACCCCTCTGTTTGGAGCTGCAAGGATATTTTTTAAAACCAGAAGTGTACTAATATTAACTAATTAGATATGAGGGAATTATACTGTAATTCAGCTCCAGCAGTATTTCTGCTGCCAAAAAATACCTTTTATGGGAAACATACTTCCTAACACGAAAGAAAGAAATAAAGAAAAAAAACCAGCAAGCTTTGGTTCATACTGCTGGGGGAAAGTTTTGAAAACAAAATGAACAAATATTCCCTGGTGAACAGTCAGCGACGAGTTTCTGGGCTACAGGAGAACTTTCACCACAGGTTATTTTTTCTCCAGTCCTTTGTGGAGAAGAGCAGAGCACTCCAGACCTTGAACGAGACTAGATGAACCTCATCATAGACTGGCGGGTCAAATATATTCCTAGTCTGTGCTAGAAGAATGCATTAGCAATAGATAGGTATGAAATGTTAAACCATGCAAAGCTCCCCAATGTTGTATTTTGTTACCAACTTAAATGTCAGACAAGGTTCATCAGAAGGTTTGCTAAGGTTTATGAACCTTTTCAGCAAATCTGGGCTGATTTATGAGTATACATGAAAATCATGCAAAATGTGCAGATATGACACACCAGATTAAATTTGGCACTTTCAAATGAATTGCATGTTGAGTTCCTTTGAAGCCAGGACTCTAAAACA